TGTTCGGGACGCTTCGCGACCCTCAGAACATTCGCGTAACACTTGGGTTACTTGCCTTGTGTCGAGACTATATATAGCCTCGGGTTGTACCCATGTGAATCATTCAATTACAATTCTCTTTTCTGAGCTCGATCCTAGATTCTCACACTTGGTATTCAGAGCCTGTTTAGACGCGAAGTTTTCGACCGCTAAAACCTAGCTTTAAAAACCGCGGGGGCGACGACGGAAAGGGCCGATTTCGGGTACGTAAACCAGTTCCGCGCAATTTTCTAACGTCCCCATCGAACCGGTTTTCGAACACTCCTCAGGTCCAGTGACGAAAAAGTTGGAATTTCGACTGTCGGATCGATTCGAATCTCAACGGCCCTGAGAATTTAGCCCAAACAAGTTGGAATTTGGAGCGTCGGATCAAATTTCTTCTCAATGGCCGAGGTCGGACGCGAATTTCGACCAAGGGAGAATTACGCGACGTACAGAATCAGCGCTCGTCAGTTCTACAGTCGATTCGACTCACAGTAAGATGACCAGCGCCTAGAATTTAATTATTTTTGTCACAAATCGGCTGACTTCCTGATGAAGGAGCTGCATTTTCCGGCTTTCAACCGGTGCTCTGTCGCCATCGGCTAAGTGTGTCTGGCCGACGTCGGTGACGGTGACGATGATGTGCAGCAGTAGGTGCCGTGCCCTTCTGCACGGCTGGTGCGGTGACGGCGTGCTGTGTGTGGGGTGCACGCCGAGGACGAGTTTTCTCCGTGGAGTACTACTGTGTGGGCTGGAGGCCAAGCGTGAGCGCGGCAGGGGAGTGTTAACGGGAGAGGAGTGTTGGCCCCGCCCTCGCTTGGGCAACGCCGACGACTTGGTCGGATGTACGGGAGAAGCAGCCGACGGTTCACAGTGGGAGGGCTGCTCGACGGGCTTCGTTGAGCTGCAGGGGACCTCTATGGTGTTGTTGTCGTCTAGGGAGCTTGACAATTGCAGCTAACTGGGCTGGGCGATGGGTGGGCCGTCGACCAGGAGGAGCAGTTTGACCGGGAGGTCGACGGAGCAGCCCGTCGACCTGACAAGTTAGCAGCGGTTGACGAGGGGAGCTCGGCGACAACAGCTGACACTTCTGGTCGACGGAGGGGTCCGTCGACCAGGGGGTAGCTCGACGGGAGCTATGGTCGACCAGAGGCACCTGGTGGTCGACCAGAGCACTTGGTGGTCGACCAGAGGCACCTGTTGGTCGACCAGGTCGACCAGGTAACTTGCTCGGCGAGTTCTGCGGAGCACGCGAATGTCGTCGAGGTCGCGATGACGAAGGCGACTTCGGGCTGGTATCCCGAAGTCGATGTGGCTCATCAGGCGCAGAGAACAGCTGATGGATGCACAACAATACAAGTTAGGCCAATTGTCTGCGTGCACCTACGAGCGTGTGCACTGCTGTGTTCTGCGGGGCAACGCTGGACAGCCGCTGTCAACGGGAGTTGGGTGTGGCCCCGTCCTCGGGTAGCCGCCGACTTGGGTGGTCGGCTGACAACTGTGTTGGTCGACGTAGAGCTGGTCGACCTGGAGTGGCGTCGACTTGGAACTGGCCGACCAAGGGTGTGGTCGACCTGGTGGGGTCGACTGGAGGTGGTTGTCGACCTGGGTGGTCGACGGGCACGTAAAGAAGCTGCTGGTCGACGTGGTTGCCCCTGTCGACCAGGTTACCTGGGTGACGAGGTTCTGCGGAGGCACGCGATAGTTGCCCAAGTGATATTGACGAGGCCGACCTCAAAAGTGGTATCCCGAGATTGACGTGGCTGGTGGGCGCAGTCGCTGGCGTGGAGTCGAGCTGGGCGTCTGCGTTGTGTAGGTGACATGGAAGAATGCACCAACCAGCTGCACGCACCTACAAAGCTGGTGCATCGTTGTCCTGCGGGTGCAACGCTGTGCAGCCGACTTGCTGCAGAGTTGGTACGCCGTGGACTTGCAACGTTGGCAAGCCGCGACCTTGCTCTGCTGGAGCGCGGTCCACCAAGACGTGCTGGCACGCGGTCGACCATGCTGCGCTGGAAGTCGACCAGCAGACTTGCTAGGTTTGATGTAGTCTTGCATGCCAATGTTGTTGTAACCATTGTTGTGAACTTTTGCTAGTGAAACTCTTGCCAACTTTCCCCGTGAACCAGCAAGTAGTGCAAGCACAAGTAAAAGACTAAGGAACAAACGCAGAGATCACACGAGCACCCGTGCCTAGCCCGTAGTCTAGCTCTTATTGCTGAAGTTATCTCCGCAGCTACTCTGCTACAGCGTTGGCACGCCGTCGACTTGCCATGTCGCCTTTCTGCAGTGCTGGGACGACTCCTCTACGCAACGCTGGCAGGCGGTCGACCATGCAGTACTGGCAGTCGACCAGGCTAGCTGCAGAGTTGCTAGGTGCCTGATGTAGTCATTTCTGTCATTGCTTGTTCGATCATTCTGGAATGCAGCCTTTGCCTAGTGAAACTCTTGCCGATTTCTCCCATCAATGCCCAAGCGCTAAGGAACTAAGAAAAGCTACGATCACTCCTAGTAGTTCGTGCCAACCCCCCCGTAATCTGGCTCACTACTCTTGTAGAGTGAGTCTCTGTGGTTGGGCAGTAGGTCAGGTTCACCTTCCCCTTGTCCAGTTCGTCCTTGACGAAGAAGTACCGCAGCGCGATGTTTTTGGTGCGGTTGACAGATCCAGGTTTGTTTGCGATTCAGATCGCGCTCTGGTTGTCGCAGCTCAGGCGGAAGGTTGGCGAAGATGGGATTTTTGCCTCTTGCAGGAGTTCCTGCAGGTAGAGACCTTCACGAACTGCTGCTGTCGCGGCGATGAATTCAGCTTCGGCCGATGACAGGGCAACCAGCTCTTGTTTTTTAGAGTTCCACAAGATTGCTTCTGTTAGCTCAAGGCGGAACAGGAACCCGGTCTTGGACCGTCGATTGTCGGGGTCTGTTGTGTGATCGGCGTCCACATAGCCAATGAGGTTGAAGGACGGGGTTGGCACTGTTGAGTAGCAGAGCCCAATCTTGGGCGTGGAGATGAACTATAGGAGGTCAGCTGATGTTGGTAAGTCTGGATTCCAACAGGGGATAGGGCTTTGTTGTCGGGTTTGTGGTTTGGTCCGGGAGTGCGATAAGGTGGGGAGAGTGGTGCAGACGCAATGTTGAAGCATTTGCCGAGTTCCTCTAAGTACTTGGCTGCTGAGAGATGAATGGCTTCCGGCGTGTTGGAGATATTGAGGCCAAGGAACTGCTTTACGTCACGGTTGCGGGTACTGTCGACGCACGTTGCCAGGTTTTTCTCAAACTGTTCGAGCAGCTCGTTTCTCGACCCTGTGTAGAGTAAGTCGTCGACGTAGACCGTGAGCAAAATATAGTCGCTGCGGAAATTGTGGCGGTACATTCTAGGATCGTGGGGAAGTTGCTTGAAGCCTATCTCAAGCAGGATGTTGTGCAAGTACTGCTGCCAGAGCCTCGGTGCCTGTTTGATCTTGTAGAGGGATTTTCGCAACTGGCACACACGTGATTCCCCTTCGCCGTATGTGTGTGGCTGCTCCATGTAAATTACCGCATCCACTAACGCATATAAGAATGCGATTTTCACGTCGATCTGACGAAGCAGTAAGTGCCTCGCGTCGACGATGGCGAGTAAAATTCTGACAGAGGTGTGACGGCTGCCTGGCGCGAACGTCTGGTCGAAGTCGATGTCGTGCCTCTGATCGTAGCCGCGCACGACCCAACGTGCCTTGAAGCACTCAATCGTGCCTTCCGCTGCTGTCTTCACGAGGAAGACCCATTTGCCAGAGAGGATCCTTCTCCCTTTGATTGCGGCGCGATCGACTAGCACATAGGTGTCGCGAGATTCGAGCCATCGCCTCGAGCCATTCTTTGCTGTGTGGTCCCGTGAGTGCTTGGCGCGGATTCTTGGGCTCGATGACACGTGGCGCCGTTGAGGTGGCGGTGTGGAGGCCTAGTAGCTGCAATCTTGAGATGGTGCTATCGTGGCGATGCTGCGGGATGACCTCCTGCACGTCATTGTCGTCACCCTCTGGTTCAGGTGGCGGTGGTGGCGCTGCGCCTCCGCTGCTTCCTCCTGCTCCGCCGACTCCTCCTTCTCCGCCGACTCCTCCTCCTGGAGGGTCTTCATCATCATCATCGCTGCTGTGGCGATCTCCTCCTGTGAATTCGCCTCTGGTGTCTTGCTCCAGGATGGATGCGACAGCTTCGTCCTCGAGTGTTGGCGTAAACGCGATTTGCGTTTGTCCGCTCGTCTTCGCGGAACTACTCGAGGAAGAGTTGCTCGTAGAAGATCACATCGCGTGCGTTCGTGATTTTTTGGCGGATGAGATCCAGAATAAGCCACGCCTTGTATTCGTGGCTGATGCCAAGGTGGATTCTGTTGAAGTAGGCTAGAGCTCGCTCTGGCATTTTTCATATGTTCTTTTGTTATTTCGCCATGTTTAGAGCGCGTTCCACTTTCAATTCAGTTTAGGTTTATTTCTTTGTTTCTGGCACATACTGAACACACCCTGTTTTCAAATAGGGTTTCCTACATTTGTCTCTCGACACTCTTTCCTAGTAATAAATTTCTCTCCCTACCTTCTCTCGCGCTAGCCATGGTCTATCAACTCAATCTTAACATGGTACCTAGATCCTAATCCTAAGCATTTTCTTCCTATTATCAACTGCTTCTTAAAGTAATTCGTAGGCCTCTGTAAGGCCTATTCAATGTCACATCTTAGGCAATTTCAAGCTCTACTTTGACTAGTTCCACTCCCCCCTTTCCTGCATATTTTCGTAGCGTGCCCTGCAGCAATTTGTCGCGCGCACTTCAGCTCTGACACGCGACCTGTAGGAACCTGTCGCGCGACCTACAAAGACCTGTCTTGCGACCTGCAGGTTCTTCGCGCGACCTGCAGCCACTCGCAGCGCGACCCGCAGCTTCGTCGCGAGACCTACAAGAACTCTTCGCGCGGCCTACGGTCGTGTCATATGACCTGCAGTTTCGTCGCATGACCTGCTGCAACTCGTCGCACACACCCTCTTTCCCTCTGCCGCACAACCAGCCCCACCTCCCTTTCCCCCTGCCGCCTGCCTCACCTCGTAGAGCGCGGCCTCTACTGTCGCGCGCCCTATCTGCCCTCGTGGCGTGCCCTACCCTTCCTCCTATAAGCCTCTCTCGACTCCTCTCCCCTCTATCAAGACCCTTCTCCACCCAATCCGCCCCTTCACCCTCCTCCTCTTCTCCCCCCCTCCTATTCCCCCCATCATCACCCTTTCCTCTGCCTCTATCCTCTTCCCATATGCTGTAGCCGGCTGATCCTAGCTCGCAGCTGCTCTCTTTTCCACCTTTCTCCTCCTCCTCGAGCTCCCCCCCCCTCTTTCCATCATTCTCCCTCCGCCTCTTATCTCTCCCCTCTGCTACTGAGCAGCATCTCCGCACATCCTTCTCCTCTCCCTCCTTCTGCTCCTGCTTCCCCACCCTCTCCCTCACCACCTCCTTCTGCTACCCTTCCTTCCTCCACCTTCTCCTCGTCTCACCCGCTCCATGATCTGTGCAATGTCCAACTCTGCTCACTTTAATCGTCTCTCTCCCTCTCCAAACGTCGATCTTCTCGAGGATCGCTTTGAAGAGATTTTCTCTGTTCATCCCGTTTCACCCCTCCTCGGTGTCACCATTGGCGACTTCTCTAATTCTCCCACTCTTCTCTCCTTTGACACTGCTGCTATTCCCACCCCTCAGACCTATTCCGAGGCAGTGTCTCGCTTTCATGCAACTGAGTGGATGGCTGCCATCATTGCCGAGTGTGAGGCATTCACTAGAACTCAATATTACGTTGACTCTGCCCCCCCCCTTGGCGCCACCATTATCAAGGGCAAATGGGTATTTCGTGTCAAACAGCTGCCTAGGGAGCTCCTTGTCTTCAAAGCGCGTTACTGAGCCAAAGGCTTCACCCAGCGTGAAGGCATTGACTACTTTGCCACTTACTCCCCCACTACCCGTCTCCCCACTCTTCGCCTCCTTCTTGACCTAGGCGCCCGCTGGGATTGGGAGATTCACTCTATGGATGTGTCCAATGCCTTTCTCTAGGGCGAGCTTCATGAACGCATTTTTCTTGAGCACCCCGCTGGCTTTCCTCTCCCGTTCCCTCCAGGCACTGTCTGGGAGCTGAAACGCGCGGTGTATTGTCTTGAGCAAGCCCCGCGCGAGTGGCATGCTAAGCTCGCCTCCACTCTTCACTCTCTTGGCTTTTCCACCTCCTCTTCCGACCCCAGTCTCTTCATTCGCACTCCCCCCCACAGTCTTTACATTCTTGCCTACGTCGATGACTTGGTGCTCCTCGCTGAAGACTCTACTGACCTTGCCGCTGTCAAGCAGGCCCTCCAGGTGCGTCTCTTGTGCAAGGATCTTGGCGAGCTTCGTCATTACCTTGGCATGGAGATTCGTCGTGATCGTGCTGCGCGCACCATTTCTCTCTCTCAATCCTTCTACATCCACTCCATTCTTGAGCGCTTTGAAATGTTGCAGGCCAAGCCCGTTTCCACACCTCTTCCCGCTAATCATCGGCTTACTGCCCCTGCCGTTCCCGCTCCCTCCTCTGAATTGCACCCCTATCCTGAACTTGTTGGGTCACTCATGTACGCTATGATGTGCACCTGCCCCGATCTTTCTTACCCCCTCAGTGTCCTCTCTCGTTTTGTTGGCCTTGGTCGCCACACTAACGTGCACTGGGCGGCTGCCAAGCGTGCCCTCTAATCTTGCACTCGCTCTTGGTGGCTCTCCCCCCCCCATTCTTTTCGGTTTCAGTGATTCCTCCTACGCTGATTCTCACCCTGATCGCCGCTCCTCTCAGGGCTATGGTTTTACTATTAGCAATGGTCTCATCAGCTGGTGCTCCACTCGTTCATCCTCTGTCTGCCTTTCCATCTGCGAGGCTGAGTTGTACGCAGGCACATTAGCGGCTCGGGAGGCTTGCTGGCGCTCGTTTCTCCTTGCTGAGCTTGGTCACTCTCAGCCCTCTGTGACGCTCTCCTATGACAGTGCGAGCGCGATTCACCTCACTGAAAATCATGTCTATCACGCTCGCAGAAAAAACATCGAGGTCTGCTGCTTCTTTGTGCGTGAGCTGGTGCAGTCTGTCTTCTTCTGCCTTCGCAAGGTGGCCGGTACTGCCAACCTTGCTGACATTTTCATCAAGGCGCTCCTTCGCGCGCCACACCGATTCTACGTGCGCACGCTTGGGCTCACTCGTCTTGCCACTTCTGGGGGTGTTCCGGCTCGCTAGGTGTTTTGTTCCAGAGCGTCACCTAGCCTGGGGGTGTTTTGGAGTAGGCTAGAGCTCGCTCTGGCATGTTATTTCGCCCATGTTTAGAGTGCACTCCACTTTCGGTTCAGTATATGTCAATTTCTGTTTTTCTGGCACAAACTGAACATGCCCTAAGTTCAATTAGGGTTTCCTAGTAATCAATTTCTCTCGCTACCTTCTCTCGCGCTAGCCATGGCCTATCAACTCAATCTTAACAGATTCCCCAACGCGCACGGTTTGCGGATTTGCCGATGGTTGACGTTGGTGGGCGGTACTGCACCATGCATCCCCACACGCGGAGCATGGATGTGTCGCCCTTCGTGCCCGTCCACTTCAGATGCGGGGACAGATTTTCAGTGATAGCAGTGGTTGATAGCAGATTATGCACCTGCACGGCGTGATGCATCGCGTAGGTCCAGTACATCGGCGGAAGTTTTGATTGCTTCAGCAGCGCCCGCATCTTCGTCATGAGCGTGCGATTTGTGCGCTCGGCAATGCCTTGCTGTGGGTCTGCGTAGGGGAGGGAGATGTGGTGCTCGATCCCCTTTTGCGCCAGGTTGTCTTGCAGCTCCTTGCTGCGGAATTCTGTTGCGCCGTCCGATTGCCAAATCTTCAGCTTCTTACCAAATTGCCGCTGCGCGTGCGCCAACCAAATGCGGAAGACATCGTATGCCCTGCTGCAAAGTTCAACCGACAACGAACACCCAGGCATCGCTACGACGACGATGATGATGACGATGACGACAACGCACCTGGATCTTCAAGGCGCCGAGACCCAGCAAGCAGTGAACGGCAACAACGAAAGCGACAACGAAAACGTAATTGAAGTAATTACATAGGAACGGCATGGCGCGAATGTTACAAACCTACAACTATTTGGCCTACACTTCGCCACGACCAACGCTCCACACGCCATCGAGCCCAATAACCCATGATAGGCCCTGACCGGACCACACGCTAAGGAGGGGCGTGCAGCCATGGACGCGGAGCTAAGGCACTGGAGACACGGGACACCTGGGTCCTAGTCGATCGTATTGCAGTAGTGAAGGGGCCGTCGACGGAACCATCAAGCGCTTCAAAGCTAGGTGGGTCCTACGTGGATACGATCAGCGCCACGGCATTGATTTTAGCCAAACCTTCGCTACGTAAGCTGCCACACCTCAATGCGCATCCTACTCGCCATCGCCACTGCAAAGCATCTACCACTGCAGCAGATCAACGTAAAAAATGCGTTCTTGTATGCACTTGCTGACGCAGCTATCTTCGTGGAGCAGCCGCACACCTACGGGGAAGGAGACCTAATGGTCTGCTAGCTGAAGAAATCCCTCTACGGGATCAAGCAGGCACCGCGACTCTGGCAGCGGCATCTGCAAAAGATACTACTCGAGATCGTCTTCAAGCAGTTGCCGCACGACCCGAGGATGTATCATCTTCACTGTGATTATATTCTCCTGACAATTAACGTCGACGACATACGGTACATAGGAACGAACAACGCGATACTCAATTAGTTCGAGAAGAACCTGGCGCAGCGAGTCGGCATCACCATCAACTATAAAGTAACATAGTTTCTAGGGCTCAACATCTCTCTTACGTGCCATAAAAAATTCACCTATCATCTTCTAAGTATGCGGAGCAACTGGGCGAGTGATTCAAAATCTCACCTGCACCACTCTCAAACCCCTATCGATCGCCTAGCACCAACTACAAATCGGACAACAAACCTCTGTCGCCCGCAGGACTTCAACTCCACCAGCGGCAACTGGGCTGTCTGCTGTTCGCCTTTGTCACCTGTCGGCCCGACCATTTACGCAACGCCAGCCAACTGCACAGTACTCACGCAAGCCAGTGACAGAAAACCTGCTGGACCTGGAGCGCGCCCTACGGTACTTCGTCTCCACATCCTGGACATTGGCCTCTTGTACTCCACGCTGACAACACCATCCTTCAATCTCATAGGATATTTGGGTGCTCATCACGCCGCTGACCCTACCAATCGATGGTCACGAATGGGGTATGTCTTCCGCCTCGAGCCAACGGACCCAATCTCTTGGAATTCGCAAAATTTGGGAGCTATCTGTCATGTCGTCAACCGAAACAGAGTACATTGCCGCAACTGCTGTAGTTCACGAAAGGGCTCTATCTTCCGGAGCTCTTTCAGGGTTTAGGGTCTAGGGTCGAAGCGACATCAATCAACCGTCATACAAGATTGATGCATGCAAAAACATGGGGATTTGGTGGGAACATGTTTGAAACGGGTTCCCGCACCGCACGGTTTGAACTTCGTTGTAACAAGGGAATATACTCATTGGGGTACATTGCTGGCTATGACTTTTTTTATTCCTTTGTGTTTCCTGTATAAACCAATGTATGCCTTCGCTATAGTCACTTCGGTAATTTTACATTCACTCTGACCTGAGGTAACTGCTTCCGCTGCAATACCACCTACGATCAACCCTGAGCCAGTCCTGGGCTAAGTCCTTAGGATTGTAACACTATCCAACATCCTTTCGTAGGGTACATTCATGCTGTGTCATTTGCGTCACAATCTCTTTTTTAGGGACCTCTCTAGACTAAATCAAACCGCTTTGTACAGAGTGGTACCTGAAAGGAAATTGGGACTGTGACACAAATGTCTGTCAAAATGCCAAGCACCTAAGAAACTAGGTTTTGGCTTAGGAGCAAGGATCATAGCGAGAAGGTTTGGCCAAAAAGGGGTTTCACTAGAACGTTAAGAGTACAAATAGGCTAAAACAGTAAGGTACACCACCAAACACAAACACAAATAACAACTGCCTCTATTACTACAAGCAGGCCATGACAATATACATAAATGCATTATTCGACACACCCCCTGACTGCCTGTAGCAAATAGTGCAGCGTGGCAGAAGCGCGGTAGACGAGCAGACACTGGCGCAAGCAGGATAAGCAGGACAAGGTAGAGATGCGCAGTGGAAAACACACAGAAACACAATAAGAAAGAGCGGTCAATCCTATCACCCCCTCACCCTCCCTCCCCTCCCCCCACCCAAGGAGGGGTGGCAGGAAGAGAGAGGAGGCGGGCTGGCGATGTCTGGTCACCCTCGCTACTCCCTCACCCCCCCCCCCCCCCCCAACCCCACTACAGTAGGAGCAGCAGGGGGAGAGAGAGGAAAGGTGGAGGGACGGCTGCTGGCTTGAGACATCCGCCACCCCCATACCCTCCCCCCACCCTCTCCTCGGATGCACAAGCAGCAGGGAGAGGGAGAAGGTGGGGGGCCAGCGTGTCAAAAGTGT